ACCATTATCCATCCATAGCCCGTTCACGTTCAGTGTGTCAGCAAAGAGTTACAGCTCATGTGGCACGGACGTCTCGTTGATAAAGTTCATATGAGGGCAGTTAGCTACAAATTTACGTACAATTTTGACGGGTCGTAAGTACGCGGTGAGCTAACTGACATCATATGAACTTTATCAACGAGACGTCGCGTCGCACATGAGCGCTAACTCTTTGCCGGTGTCAGGTGTGAAAATCTCCCAGTAAAAGATCAAATATCTAATGAGACAAGTTAGGAGACTATGTGGTTAGGACTTACTAGGTTGATCGTTCCGCTTACTCCACCTGGAATAAGCTAATTAACTAATGAAATCTGAAGTGAAGCTGTGTTATTCTGGTTCTGACGGTGGAGTCGCAACTAGATAACAAATGACGCATTTTTGTTTATAACTTTTCTTCCTTGTAGCTCACTTCAAAACTTGGGGTCCCTGACTTCCTATCGCGTTAGAGACTTTCTTTCGGTAGTACCAGTTGCGACTTTTGACATCACGGAATCCAGTGACAGTATATAAGTCGGAGAGGTATACCAAAACCAAAGAACTGAACAAAAAAGAGGAAAGTTATTAAGGGGACGAGTCTGTTCACCGTACTTCTTCTACTTTCTGGGACACACCTACTTCCACAGAGGCAAGGAGCGTAGTGTCGGTAAGACCAGAATGAGATTTCGAAATATACGAGAATACCAGCCGTCGACGAACAGGAGAAACTTTTCTGTTTTCCTCCTGCCAATATCTTCCTGTCTCTGATGCCATGACACAGTTTCGTCCAATTGTCACAATGACACACACAAAGGTTTCACTAGTACACTCACAACAACAGGATTTTTGGGTCTGTTGCACCTAGACTGGGGCCGACTCTAGTCGACTAACTGTGTCTTAGGTAGTCTCCTCTGAGACCAGGATCGTGGCTGTCTCCTGTCGACATGTCGAAGTCGGACAGGAGAGGACCTGTAGTCGTTCCACTGCAACAAACACTTGTTTTTTTTTTGAAGGCACTAACTTTAATCTAAATTTGTAAGTTTACAAAAGATGGGCACATGTTTGTAAACAACAGCAAATAATTGATCCTATTACAACGATTCTACCAGAGGAGGTTTGGGAGGTGGTGGTGATACTTCAAATCTAAATGAGTCCCTGGGCCAGTAATTTTTTTCACAATTTCCACTAAATTTAAGTATGATATAGGTAATCATTAATTCCGTAAAAGGGTTTCCAACAATTGTAAAACAATTTGACCAATCAGTTTAAATTCATAGATTAAAGGTTTCTCCCAAGCATAGATGTCCAGACGGACCTTTACATTAGTACCGCACTCCACACATTTCACCACTAAGACCATCAAATTACCGTAGCGGGGCAACCTAAAACTGCAGTAGACTTGTCCTGTGAGTTGTGCGGGAGGTTTACAACTATGCAACGCTTCCAGTTCAAATGCGCAACAATTTAATTTTGTAGCAACCCTTTACGTCAGACGCAGGTTTTCCATTCTTTTTCCTTTCCCTGTTTTAGTTTATTACATTATTCGTTACACTTCATCCCAGCAGGTTTCTTGGGAGTTGTGGGTTTCCCCTCACTTCGAATTTTTTTTACTACCTTTCCGGTGAGAATGTTTATATATATTCTAACTGAAGTCCTTTGAAGGCGAAAATGGACCAAAATAGTGAACGAACGAAATAAAATCATTTCGAACTTAAAAAAATACATGTTGGTAACACATACGACGACTCGAGCAACTATTTCAAGTATACTACGTCATCGAGTGGCGCAGAATGCTGGGCATTTAACATGCATTTAAACATCGATGACGTAGTATACTTGAAATAGTTGCTCTGCAGCACGTGTACTCGACATTGAGAAACGGACTGTGTGACTTGCACTTGACCCGATACTACCATTACCAGTGCTAAGTAGGTAATAATAGAAGTAGCTGTATTTTTGCTTTCTTGTACTTTTATTTTTTAAAAACAACCTTAACTTGAGCTTCCTTTTTCGATGCAGTGATTTTATTGGGCTCTTATTTTGAAAAAACAACCTTAACTAGAGCTTCCTTTTTCGATGCAGTGATTTTATTGGGCTTTTATTTTGAAAAAACAACCTTAACTTGAGCTTCCTTTTTCGGTGCAGTGATTTTATTGGGCTTTTATTTTGAAAAAACAACCTTAACTTGAGCTTCTTTTTTCGATGCAGTGATTTTATTGGGCTTTTATTTTAAAGGGGTGTTGGTTGGGGGTGAGATTTATATTTTTTGTTTGATCTATTATTGGACTTCAACTTGTAATATGTGTGTCCTGTTTTTCTTCTATTAACCCGTTTTCATTTGTATTTCATTGTAAAATGGAGAAACAGTCAGAAGCGAAACTAACCAATGAGTGAATAACCAATGTTATCACAGTAAACACTCCACCAGCTCACCTGTCTGTTTCCTGCCCCGATGTATTGATCTCTCTCCTCAGATCTCCAGACTCGAACACCAGCAGGCGTCCTGAGTCTGTCCCGGCGATCACTCTCTCCTCCGTCACCCAGCTGTGACACAGGAAGAAGATGGACTCCACTTTGGGGGAGCTGCTCTGCTTCAGGGTTCCTTCTGAGTAACGAAACAGCTTCAACACACCACCTCCACTCACACACAGCTGCGTGTTGTTGTGAGGGTTGAAGCTGACCTGAAGGGACATCAAGGAACTACTTTATTACACGGCAAGATTGAATAATGGATTCTGATTGGTACATTTCAACCATTTCAAGGTTTGATATTACTCTCTCTACAGACCGTTGCTAAGGACAATCTGATCATAGGTGGAAAGTACAAAAAAACTGTATTTTACTTATTTCCATTTTATGCTACTTTTACTTCTCCACTACAATTTGGAAGAAAGTATTGCACTTTTTTACTCACTACATTTATTTGAACAAATGACTTACTTTGCAGGTTCATATCATGAATACAAAATATAAATCAACTAATGAATTATGATACATGTATTAAGAAAGCATTAAGCAGTATACAAATATATTAAAGTTAGCCCCAGATTCACCAGCAGCAAAGTGATAACGATGATTAATGGATCATTAATTATAATCCAGAGATAATATATATTACTCTGAAAATGGCCAATTCGCTAAATGAGTACTCTTCATTTGGTACTCTATGTATGATAAAACATTTTGTATGTAGTACTATTACTCACAGAGTATTTATACACTGTTGAATCTTACTTTTTTTTAACACAAACAACGTTTCATGCTGCCAGTAAAGAAGACTATATTTGTTAGCAAAAGCAATAGAATGATTTTTAAACTTAAAAAAAATTGTTTTAATAAAAATATTTTGTCCAATCATTGATGTATTCAGGAAGTAGCCATGCTCAGCTCATGGCTGTATCGTTACAGGACGGAGGACTCACCTGGGAAACAGGATTATGGGACGTACTGGTCTTCACTGTTGCCAGAACCTTCTGTTTCTCCCAAAGCCAGAAGATCAGCGTCCAATCAGGGCCTCCCGTCTGTCCGATCAGATACTTTGAATCGTGAGAGAAAGCCATGCAGACGAACTCTTCAGCGGACGACTCTCCTGCCGTCAGGACCTTCCTCTTCCGGCCCTGCTCGTGCTGCAGGTCGAACACGGTGATGGAGGCTCTCTCTCCGCACTCTGACACCGCCAGGTACCTCCTGTTAGGACTGATGGCCAGAGCGTGCATACCCTGACTCTTCTCTGAGCCTGAAGGGGGAGGAAATGAGAGGGAAAACATGGGAACAATGATTTAGGGATATGATAAGGTTTAGAAAAAGTTATTGTTTTTGAGGCCAATAAGAGACGGTGCAATGTTAATGTCTGTGTTAGACTATGGTGGTGTTGTTTATATGAATGGATCTTCTAAATGACGAGGCTCTCTAGAAACCGTTTAAAGCATCAAAAAGCATTCATGTCCCAGTCTTTGAAAGTGAGTCTGCAAAAATGTCCCCAATTGTGATCAATAAAGTACATCTTATCCTAACTTATCTTAGCATCTCATACAGCACCGAAGCCTACTTTAAATCCACTAAAGAAATGTATCCGACAGTTTAACAGAGGTGGTACTGTAGAAGTACTCATATCTTGTACTTGAGTAAAAGTAGAAGTACTCAGATCTTGTACTTGAGTAAAAGTAGAAGTACTCAGATCTTGTATTTGAGTAAAAGTAGATCTGTACTCAAATCTTGTTCTTGAGTAAAAGTAGAAGTACTCAGATCTTGTACTTGAGTAAAAGTACCAGAGGAATACTCTATCACAGTAAAATTCCTGTATTCAAAATGTTCCTCAAGTAAAAGTAGAAAAGTATTATCATCAAAATATAGTGTAAGGAGCGACAGTAAAAGTAGTCATGGTGCAGATTTGTCCATGTCAGAATAATAGATATGATATGTTTTATAATGATTGATCATGAAAGTGTTCTCAAAGCTGGTAAAGGTGCAGCTAGTTTGAATGACTTTGTATACTGCAGGGTAGCTTGTGAATTTACTCCAGGTGGAACTAAAGTCTGATTTAACACTTGATTATATTTACCATCATTCATCCACATCTGTAAAGTAACTAAAGGTATTAAATACATGTAGTGGAGTAAAAGTACACCATTTACCTCTGAACTGCAGTGGAGTAGAAGTACACAGTAGCAGCAAATGGAAATACTCAGGTATCTCATTGAACTTACTGTACTTACCTCAGGCTCTGACAGTTTAAAGATGTGTAACAGTAAGTAAACTATATTTTCTCCTACCTGGGATGAACCTCTGAGACCTCCTGGAGGTGTTGTAGCACACACAGGTGTTTCCGCAGGGGAACACCACGGTGTTTTCATCACAGAAACTCACGCTGTTCCTCACTCCTGTCCGCAGCCCGAAGCTGAACAAAGGCTGGGCCACAACTGAGGACATCTTCAATGGACTTTAAAGCAGTTTGTAATGCCTAAACTCACCTAAAAGTTACCGAAATCCACTAAAACTCTCCACACATTCAGACTAACTTAATCAACACATATTAACTTAGCTTTGAAGCCAGAAAAAAGCACAGAAAACGGAGTAAAAACAAAACAGGGACAGGTTGGATGTGCTGGTGTGGTTAGAGTCCCGTCGCTAGGTAACCCATGAAATCTCGCGAGAGTTCGTTTATAGTTCCCTCTCCACTGCGCACCGTCTCTATCAATCACATAATAAAACAGGTTTTATATGATCGTTTCTTTATCTTTTCCCGCACATTGTACCATAAACTAAATGCCCAGCTTTTGTGTTTCCTGTACTGTATTATATAAATTATAACGTGTTATGTCTATTTTTTAATGATACGAGTCTTCTTCCGGGATTTCGGGGGTTGCCTAGTAACGCAACTCACTAGCTTTGTGCTGAAATGCAAACCACTCAAGCACTATATTATTATGAATACATTATTGAGGTATGTTTACTTTAAATTACAGTCGGATTATCATAATAAAGATTACTGCTACTTTATTCAATATCTAAGGGGGATTCATTGTACTTTTTGAATGTTATCAGGTTCATATTTGGCAGCAATGGGAGACATTTCCTTTTCACATGAATACAAACAATAACAAAGAAAAGTCACAACAATCCAGGCTGTGTATTCAAAGGCTTTAATGGCAGGATTTAATAACACCAGTGAGTGGTTTTGCATCTCTCATTAGAAAACAGCAATGACAGTGAATTGTCGAAGTATTGTTTGTTTGAATCGTTCTTGTTGGTTGTCAACATGTCGGAGAATCTATCTGACTTGTAGATTGTTCTGTGATCAGCGACAAGCAGTAGCTGTGTCCCAATTCAGCTGCTGCAAAAAATGGCCCTTCAATTCAAATATGTTTGACCAGCGTATGGCAACTAAATGAAACCCAATTCAATAACCTGAATACATGATAAGCCTGTTTACTTAAGGCTCACAGAAACCAGAACGAATTATGCATTTTGGCCACCCTTGTCCCCTCCCATGTTAACCATGTCCTATTTTAGCACCACAATAGACCAAGTCTCAAGATGTCAACATTAACATCCAACCTCAACACATCAAAAAGCTTAGCAGGTTAATGGCAAATATACTGTATCCATAACATTTATGTAGAACTTCATCATGCCTTAGTGTCACAAAGTAAACACAAAGTGTTTTCTCCAAAGTATTGGTGTAAAAACTTTGTAGAAACACTACCTTGTCATGCTACTTCTGACCATTTACATGAATGAGGAAGGTTTAAATGTTGATCCATTTCACAGACTGCCTTTATGCCCTTTTAAAGTTTAGCTTATTTAACATGTTCACATTCAGCACTTTGTTGTGGAAAAAAGAAAATCCATATTGGATCATGAAAGAGTTATGTACAATTAGAAGATCATGAAATAAACGTAGTATATGCATCATTTTTTCTTAATGTATGGGTTGTCTTCCCGTCAACTGTGCAACTTTTGTCCTGGTTTCACGGTCTATAAAGCACATCATCACCCATTTCTGTGCACATTTTAAACTTAGTTCCAATTCACAACACAAGTTTTACTTGTTTATGGGATTTATGGTCAATATACCTCATTTACACAAAACTAAACCTTATTTTTGAGTTATAAAAGGCAAAAACAACTATTACTTTGACTTTAGTTCAGTGGAACCCATCTTGGTGAATACACTATTACATGTCAACATTTAGTCATGATACTGTTTTAAAACCATTTCAAATATTTGATGGCAGCATGTAATGACACCAGATACTATAAATAAAAAAACAAAAACACGCAGAATTCAATGAAAGTAGTGACCATTCATTTTTCTTACAAAGAACGTAGTATGAAATCCTCCATGTTGTTTTTGTGGCAATAAGCTAAAATAGTCCATTTAGAAACGGGTCAGATTTGACCGAGGGCAACTGGAATGTTAATATGTAATGAAGCCCCTTTGCTATACTAGTTAATGCATCTAGGCTAAAATCCCTTTATAGATAATAGGATCTGAGGAGTATAAATGCTACAATATAATACACTGTACACAGCTGGACTGGCCCAGCAGGAGGCGGTGTTCAGCAGGAGATGACCAGGGCGTTCAGAGACTGCTGACTCTGCGTTCTCTCCAGAGGACCAGCAGCAGAGAGGATCTCACAGGCAGCCAGCTCATGGTAGAGAGCGTTCAGCACCTCCAGGATGTGGGCTTTACCTGTGCACACAACACAGTGACCAATGAGGGAGTCATTATTCATCAGTCAGTCCTGCTCAACCCTCTGAATTTTGCACATTGCACACGAAGCTACCTCTTATATCTGCACGGCCTTCCACTTGTCGTACCAATACTGCACATATTTAATTCTATTTAATTCTATGTCTCACTTATTGTTTTAATGATGCTGCTTCTTACCTTTTTGTCCTTGGAAAGTGTACAACGAAAAAACGGAAAAGTTGTCTTTAATTAAATGTATTATGTCCACAGATTTCACATAACTTTATAAGGTAAGTTTAAAGCAATAATATAAAGTTTAAATAATTAGTTTCGACTTAATATTATTGCTTTCAACATACCTCATAAAGTTATGGGAAATCTGTTGACATAATACATTTAATTAATATTTGTGCATGACACTTTACTAAATACTGTTTTTATTTGTATCTCTATCATTATTGCCTCTTTGCTGTAACGATGTAAATTCCCCTTTGTGGGATTAATAAAGCAATTCTGAAGACCAGGCAAGCATTTCATTCAATTCCCCGCCCTGAGTAACAGTAAACGCTCATGATCACGTTGCACAGGACTTGTATTGATTTTATTGGCCGAGCGTGCCCTCCTCACCGTGCTGAGGGTCGCTGCAGCAGCCCAGCGTGCTGAGCAGGATTTTCCCCAGAGACCTCCGCGAGACGTTCTGAAACAAGAGAGAGCTATTCTCAGATGACTGTCTGTGATTAACAGGCGCTTTAACAGGCAATCTGAGACTCGTAACCACAGAGGCTCACACACACATGTTCAACAACTGAAATTAATTTGCTCTCAGATCTAAAATCAATCCCAGTGTTAGGGGCGGATCACAAAAGAATGGACAAGAATCCGCATAACTCCTATTACAGAAAAGAGGTCGAAAAGGACTTTTAAATTAAATCATCAATAAGTTAAAGAGGACATATTATGCTTTTTGGGGGGTTTCCCTTTCCTGTAGTGTGTTCTATAGGTTTCTGTGCATGTCAATTGTCTGCAAAGACCCCCCCCCCCATCCCAACTGCCTGAAACATCTCCATTTGACTTAATTGTTTACTTCTGAAACATAGTGACATCATTATGTAACACTAACGCTCCTATTGGCTAGCACTCCAACACATTGTACGTGATAGGCAAAGAGGCGGGACATCACTAAGCGGTTGACCAATCACAGCAGAACATTAAAGCATGGAGACATGTCACAGTAGAGACACTACATACTGATATACACCTGAACATCAGCAGGAGAGGACTCTTTAAAGTAGAGACACTACATACTGATATACACCTGAACATCAGCAGGAGAGGACTCTTTAAAGTAGAGACACTACATACTGATATACACCTGAACATCAGCAGGAGAGGACTCTTTAAAGTAGAGACACTACATACTGATATACACCTGACAGTGAGCAGAATATGTCCTCTTCAACACGTGTAGCTTTGACGCCAAAATACTGGAATAGTGCTCAGCCTCTTCAGAGTTATAGCTATAGTTCCTCGTACTACGCATGTGCCTCACCAGGTCTCTGAGCTGCTGGAGGAGCTGCAGGATGTCGACCAGCTTCTCCTCCACCAGAGACAGACGAACCCTCTCAGTTTCCAGCATCTGAAGCTCCACCTGCAGCAGCTCCGTCTCCTCGGCCTTCTGCTGGAGCTCCTGCACCAGAGAGTCCTTCATCTGGAGGTCACAACCGACACAAGGGTCAGGGGGGTTACTTTAAACATGTATTAGGAATGTAAACGACCCCTAACCCATCACAGTCCCCCTGCTTCCACTCCTAAAATATTGAAGTGACTGTTATTTTGTATATATTGATTGTTGTGCTTTTATTGATGTCTTAATGTGTGCATATGTATGAATGTGTCTGTTGATTGTGTATATTTAGGATATACATATTTTTATACATATTTTTTAATATATTTGTATTTTTGTATTCGGGATTGTGGGAAATGGTTTTTCGATCTCTCTGTACACACAAACTGAAAGATTGACAATAAAGTTGACTTTGACTTTGACTACTGCTATTTATTTAATTGTTACTTTATTATTTTGACCCCTCTTGTTTGTTTGTTTGTTTGTTTGTTTGTTCACCATGTAAAGCGGCCTTGGGTCCCTTGAAAGGCGCTATACAAATGTATACTATTATTATTATATTATTATTATTAACTTAACCCTGGAGGTAAACGTCCTTTAGTACCTGCCACGCTTGGGGAGTAATGGATTACTTGTAACGGGATAACATAATCGGGATACATTTTTTTTACTGTATTCCCGTACAGTTACATGTGAAAAATATGTAATAAGATTACTGTTTCATTACAAGCATTGGGGATTACTACGAGGACAATCCTACTATATTTCTTTTAGCTCAGAATATTTTTTTAAACTGAAGTATGTGCTGAAAAAAGGTAGGTTTTCCTGTAAATAAAATCATTATTGATCATAAATATCTTGGTTTCATCACATTGTTATGTTGTCGAATACACTTATTAAAAACGTCTTATTGTTATTTTAATTTGTATTTCATTAGATAGTGAGGTAATCGAAAGGTATTGGAAACTAACCAGGTTACATTACTTTAATATTTTGATACTTAGATTAGGTTACTGATTACATTTGCTCACAGGTAAGTAGTAATTGTAACGGATTACATTTTTAAAGTAACCCTGTTAACATCGTAATAAAAAATAACTTTACCTAAAAAATATGAATAACAATTTCTAGAGTTACAGTGAGTTTCCAGAAGGCACTATAGGTCTGTGTGGAAATCCCACAGTGCACCTTTGCGTCATGGCGTACCGAAGGACAGAGGTCTTACCCCACACTTCCTGCACATAAACAAAGCCTCACAGTCACGACTTTGTTTAGTTTGAACTTTTCCTCTCGGAGAGCGGGACGTACTGGGAACACATTACGTCACCTTCTGCCTGTCTTCCTGTGCTGTGAAAATACTGCTGTAGCAAGAGAGCTTTCATTTATGATGTTCCTAAGTGTCATGTGGGACAAGGAGAGGGAGTGTTTCTGTGGTCGACTCCAGTGAGAAACAGCTGCACACACACACACACACACACACACACACACACACACACACACACACACACACACACACACACACACACACACACACACACACACACACACAGAGGGAGGCTGGTTGGGTTAGCCGCTCGCTGTGGTTTTTGCCTTTGAAGTTCTCCACTTTCAAAACAACCTTCAGCAGTCGTCTCTAATCCAGTTTAATACTGCAATACTACTTATGTGCAATAAATATATATATATATATATATATACCGCTTTATACTTATAATTATTATTACTGCTGTCCCTTAGTTAGACAATTCAACTCCTGTAATCAATCTGTAAATAACTGCATATAAACTTCCACTTTGAATACCTCGCTGCTATCACACTTTTTTTTCTTTTTACATTTTTGTATTTCTTTTGTTTGGTTTTTGTTACTGGATTTTGTAAATTGTACTTTCAATTTCTATCTTTAATATCTTATGCATGCTTCTCAATTAATATTAAGCTATATGTGCCTCTTTACTCTATGTAACAAGGAACATGTACCCTTTGTGGGACGAATAAAGGTCTTCTGTTTCTGGTGGATCTGAGGAGAAGCCCACCCTGATGAGATGGAGGTAAGTGGAGGTGTGTTTACCTGCTCCAGTTTAATACTGCAACACTAACTGTGCATCTACACTTCCAGTGAGGTCAGTGTTTACCTGCTCCATGTCTACCTCGGCGCGGCCCTCCTTCAGCTCCAGATGTTTGTTCAGCCGGGTCACTCTCTCCAGCAGCTCCAGCACAGCGCTGCAGCTCTCCTCGCTCCTGGAGCTGCCGTAGTGAGACATCAGCTTCTTCAACGCCTTGTCGTCGCACCTGAACAACAACAGGTACCAGAAAGCAGAACGTACAGTATGTCAGGCTCAGGGATGTCAGAAAGGATTGGAGTTTAACTAACAAGGTCATCATATCTGAGTAACATCGCATCGCTATTTAAATCTGCTAATTGTTTTGGAATGAGTCCTAAAACCCTTAGCATGTTAGCACTTCCAGTTTGATTGTCTCAAAGTTTTTGTAACCTGTTTGTGGTTTGATGCCTGAAATAAGGTCTGTGGTTAACACAAGCTGTAGGGATTTCACCTTTTATTCTACGAGATAAAATAAATTAAAGTTAATACCCCACTTGTAAATGTGTAATAAACTAACAAGTGGCTTATTGTCATCACGGCGAACATTAGCTGCGTTTATCTTAGCAATGGTGGCGCCAAGATCTTTCTTTATAGCCCAATGTTAGCTATTAAGTTCTAGCAATTGCATTTAACCTTCAACAACTATACAAGTGCTGTTAGTATATGGAGAATATCCTTCTGATCAAAATATCAAAATATCATAAAACAATTGTTTGGATGTTTTGTCAATGATATCATAACTTTTCGGTTAGCCAAGAAAAATACGTCCTCCTTGCACCACTCTATAGCCACAAGGCAGCATTTCAACTGACCAATGTAACCTAGAATGGTTGCTAGCTTGGGTCTAACATGATCTCCAAGTGAAACAACACTAATTCCTGGTTTTGGCTATTAATCCTCCAGGCTCTCACATAAAAAGTTCATACATCATACTCCACACAGTATAGCATGCCATTGCTTAAAGGTGACCTATCATGCAAAATGCACTTTTGTACGTCTTTTATACATGAATATGTGTCCCCGGTGTTCCAGGGAACTCACCAAGTGTCAGAAAACACAACCCTCTCTATTTTCCTCCATACCCAAATCTCTTAAAAAGGGGCTGCAACGGATCTGATACAGACTGATCCAGATTTGAACACTTCTATGACGTCACAGAAGTGGCGCTACGGCTATTGGGCCAACTCCACCAATCACGAGGAGACAGCCACGGACATTGCCGTTGTAAAGCGCTGGAGACGCTGTAGTACATATGCCAGGCCTGTAGATGGTGCTGTTCTCACAGAATCAGCCCATGATGCAAAGACAGTGTTAAATTGAGCGAAATGAGGAATGGCTAAAATGCATGATCTGTTTGGTATTTTGAAAAATAAAAAGTATAAATATGCCTTATATAGGTATGGTACTAAACTATATTATTCAATATAGCATGATAGGTCCACTTTAAATCCTGTTCTGATCATATAACACATGTGTTTTACATGGTTTTGTCCACTTTAGCCTTTGTGTATATGAAATTG